ATGTATATCATTATTTCATAAAATTTAAATATATTTTAATATTTTTAATGAATATATAATTTCTAAATGTGTAAAAATTACAAATAAAAAATGATAAATTGTTACTTTCTATTAATAGATTACACTAGTAACATATTGCACAAATGATTTTATTTTACTATTAATTAAACTCATTTTTGTTTGAAAACATATTCTCCCTTTCAAACTTTGGTCTTTAAATGTTTTAATTTCTCTTTGCGTCTATGTTTACATCTTTACGTACCGAGCAACTCTTCTGTCTTTTTAACTAGCTAACTCAAAAATCAAACAAAAAGTTATCAGCGTCTAAAATGAAAAGCATTAATTTTTCCTGCATGAATTCAATCAAAATGAAATAATTCCAAATATATGATTAGAATAACGAAAGTGGGAAAAAATGTAACTTATTAATAACTCTGAATAATTGCAATTGTTCTCAAAATTCACATCATAGTGATTAGAAAAGTACATGTATAGTCACTTTTTATATATAGAAATTTTATGTTAGTAATGTTTTAAGGAAATCCATTAAACATATACCAATATTCAAATCTATAATAATCAATTCAACTTTTGCGCCTAAATAAGGAACATGGAGATGCCACGAGTGTATATGGACCTACAAAATTGGGAATCCTTCAACGGATCATACTACTATTGTTTCCACCAAACCGTACCATTTTGGAAGTAGAGGTCAGTAGCTAACTGCCATATTATACTTTCCTTTCAAAAGAGCTTATTAGTGGTTGAGTCGGGGCACTTAGAGTATGTTTGGCACAACTAGCTGAAAAGATATATTTGTAAGCTATTTAATAACTGTTAGCTTTTAGTGACTGAAAAGCTTTTAAAGAAAAAAGATGGTAGCTGTTTGGTAAAAAGTTGACTATTTGATTTAATTCGGTTTGGTATACAAGTTGTTATGACTAATTAATACTAAAAGTCACGGGCTTTTTTCATATGATACCTCATGTAACATCTCAAAAAAGATCTTTTAATTTTTGAAAAGTTCTTAAAAATTGTCATTTCAAACATAAAATTACAAGTTTTTTGAGACTTTTTAAACAGTACAAAAGCTACAAGACAGAGGCTTATGCGTGTCAAACATAACCTTAGCTTGATGTATTGGCTATATATACTTCCCAATATTAGGTACTTGTCTCTTGAAACTTGACCTATTTTGATCAACACATCAGTATGGAAAATATCCTTTTTTACTTTGGTAGTTAAGATTTGTTAACTACTTATCCAATTTAGCAATGATTATGACATAGCGGATTAGATAAGCTCGGACTAAATTGACCTAACTAATAAGATGAAACCATATATAATTAATTTAACCACACTAGATTCATATAATAATAATATTCAAATAATATTAGACTTATACATAATTTAAATAAATCAAATCTGTATTAAAATTTAAAATAGCAATTCAATTAAGTTTTTTTCACATTACTTTCCATCCTATATATACTCCGAGTCTCTAAAAAATATTATGGAAAAACATAATAGCCCCGAACGTATTTTTTTTGGAAAATTTTCACAAATAGACTAAAAATGAAAATAATATCACTTTTTCAACGTTCCAACTTTATTTTAAAAGTAGACTGGTACGGTAGAATGGAAGTGCCGTTATACATAAGCAAGACACGTATCTTGCTTGATCACTCATTTTTTGTTTGTTAAATCAAAACTGAAAAACAAAATGTTAAGATTGATCAAAAAGTTAAAAACAAAAAAATCACAACAAACAATAAATTCTGAAAAAACTGAAAGTCCGAAATAGGAAAATTCAAAAGATGAAAAAATACAGAAATTTGTCAAAATATGTAAATTAAAAAATTAATCAGAGAAGTGGAAATAAACATGTACTACATTAAATAATAAAAATTATTTTAAAATAGTAATACATAAAATTATAGAAATACAAAAGTAAATAATAAAATATAAAAATGTTTAAGAAAGTTAAAAATGTGTGGAAACATAAAAAATAATTCTTTATAATGCATTTTTTAAAACTACGTAATATACACTTGTAAAAATCACAAACTGTCAAAAAAAATATTTGACAGAAGTGAAAATTAAATTGTAAATACAAAACTTCTAAGAAAAGTGGCTGTTTTTAAGTAAACTGAGTAAGATATAGAAAAATACAGACCTGTCAAAAATACATACATTTACAATACATATAGAAAAAAATTAAAAATTATACGAAATATGAATTTTATAATTTCAAAATTTTAAGTAGTTATAAATTAAATTATTATGAAGTGGCTGTTTTATCTTTATTTTTGTTGCATGTGGTTTCTTTGTGTTTCATTTTGTTGATTTATTTGCAAATTTTGTTTCTTATTGTTTATTCATGTTTCTTGTTATTGATTTCATAACTCCAAATGTGTTATAATTTGTGTGTGTTGGTTTATTATTCCAAAGTAGAAAAAGTATATATGAATCTGAAAAACAAAAATAACAATCAATATACAATGAATAACAAAAAGTAACAAAATACAACAAAAAGCAACACAATGCAAAAACAAGAAACACAAAAAGAAACAAAAAGCAGATAAAGTATTGCAACGAATATTTATAAATTTATACAATTACCGTATTTAAGTATTATTTTTTTTACTAATGAAAAAACAGGGCAACTCTAAATAATACGAAGTAATAACAATAATACAAATAGAAGAAATTGTTGTCTTAAAATGTGTATTACTCTTAATACTCACTATAAATGCTGTACAAAACAGATGGGCATCAAACCCCCCGGGATCATCATCTGCCTCCCAAGTCCCAAATCCACTCAAGCTCTTCAATCACAGAAAGTGTTCCCTATTTTGCATATATTATATGCAGAGGAAGATAATAAGAAAACCTCAAAGATGCATCTTCTTTTGATCTTCATCCATCCTCCAAACAAATGAGGGCATATCTTCATCCATCCATTCATCCAAGTTGCTTGATTTTTGTTGTTGAAGGAATCACTTGAGGAAAAACACTTCTCATATTTCTCTGCAGCAACTAATAAATTAATCCCACTACAAGGAACCACATTTGACTACTACACATCCAAAGGCAGATAACACAGAACCATTGATCAAATTAATACATACAAAAGTTATTATTAACAAAACCTTGATAATTGTATTTATAAATTCATTTATACTAAAGGAAATAACAAATGAAAACATAAATAAACAAAAAACAACAATATTAAAATTCAATAATTGAAAAGTGATCAACAAAAGTCAACAAAAAACAACACAGTGAAACAAAAAGTAATGATTTAACAATCAATTTCAACTTTCTATTTTTTAAATCAGCTGGTAGAACTTAACGTGTAAACAATGGAGAAGTAGAGATCAAATCTTAACACCTAGGCAATGATTTTCACAATAACAATCCATTACCAACTTAAACCCTCCTACTATATATTGATAAGATCTTAGCACCTTACAGAGAGTTAAGACACTATGCAGACCATCCAAATCTTAAGTCACCATATCATATTATTATGTGGTAATCACATTGCAAAAATGTTTTATCAAAAAATTACATATGAGACGTGAATATATATAGGACAATAATAGCACATCAGGACATAAAACAACTCTTAACTTAAAACACATACCTCCTCATAACCCCCCACCCCCGCCCACATTAGCATATCATAACCCCTTATGCTACAATATTCTCATTCGGAATTTCTGCAGAAACGTAGATCTCAACTTTGTTTAACTTAATAACTCATTTTCCTTAAATTTGTCTCGTACATGGCCATTATTTATTTATAAACCTCAAATAGAACCAACAAAAAACAGTAATAAAAATATCAAAGCAATATTGTTAGTAAAAAGTAATGCACTAGTGCATAAAAATTTGAACTATCCACAGCTTTTCCTTTGTTAACTACAATTTTTTGTCTAGTTAAAACTATAACACTATCAAATAGTGATTCCATTAAAGCTTTATCTGCAGCAAGAGGTTGTATGATCTGGAAGGAGAATTTTGTTTAGGATTATTCAAAGCAAAATTAGGGACAAAATCATTCAAAATGATAGTTTAAACCATAATTCAAGTCTAGAGAACTTGAAATGAGCGGTAGGTCCATCCGGCAAACCAATTATGAGCAGAGCATCTGGTTCATAGCGATTAATGTGTACAAAAATGATGGATGTGAAATCCCTTGTTTTGACATATTCAATCATCTTTTTAGGTCATATGTGAAACTGAGCATTAGAAATAACAGAGAGCAAATTGGATATGAAGGAAGGCCCCCTTATGGATTTCAATCGGGATGTCGTTATCAATACCTTAGGAATTAGATCTTTTAGAAGCACTCTGCTGAATTTATTCCACATCGTTTTTCGCAAAGAGCTCTTCGTCTTCGGATTTGAACAGTGTCTCGTCAGCCTTCCTAGTGTTCTCTATTGTGTGCGGTATCTCCCTTTCCGGAGACTCTTCGCCGAGCTCAAGAGCCATTTTTACAGCAGCATCGCGAGCTTTGACGTTCTTGTGTTTCTCTACCTTCTTCTCGCGCTTTAGCTTGGCTTGAATGGCCGATCGATCTCTTTTCCTTGTTCACATACGGAGAAGTGAAACGGTTGTCGTGATTTTACTTTGCGTCTCTCGTGATACAGGAGGATTGTGGGCAGATGTCTAGAAGTGAAATAAAAAACATAAGTGAAAATAATAAAGTTAAAAGTAAGGGGGTGTTTGGAACTGATTCTGCTTCTGCTTCTTTTTTTAAAGCAGAAGCAGAATCAGTTTTCAGAAGCTGGTACCCCTCAACTTCTAAAAAAACTGATTCTAGGAGTAAATTAGAGCACTAGAATCACTTCTGCATTTTCATCTAAATACTCCAACTTTTGCTTGTGCTAAAATGATCCAAACACCCCTAAAAAGAAAAAGCAGTTGGAAGTCTGAGGTTATAGAAACTAACTTTCGCCTAATTACTGTTTTTTTTCGTGTCCAAAAAACAGCCGAAATTGAAGGCGCCCAAATAAGCTCAAACTCTTCTGCTGAAATTGGAAACGTTGGGGAAATTCAGAGTCTTGTGAGCGCCACCTTGAGGGGCACAGTAGACGCCGGAGACTCGGTCGGGCCGGCGGAGGACGAGGATGAAGTAATAGAGCTGGAGTTCTTCGACAGCAGAGCAGTAGACAAGCTGCACACCACGCATGACGCGTATTGCCCAAACTGCAGAAGCCCCATTTCCAAGGTTGTTCTGAGGATTAAGCGGGAAAGAAGGAGGGTTGATCCGCCCCCTAATCCGGAGAAAAAGCTCGATTTGCTTGGTTGTCTGACATGCTTTCGAGTTTTCCTCCCTTCGAGATCAGAAGAAGCAGATGAAAGCAATGGGAACCCTGTAGAGAAACAGGAACCAAGCAGTGCATTGCCTGATGGTATGTATATACATATTAATATTTAATATATTGTTTGTGTTAATGCATAAATAATACCTCCCTTCATGCTTTGATTTTTAAGGTCTAGATGTTTACTTTTTAAGCAACTATACCCCATTCATCCCATTAGATTTAGCCAAGTTTGACTGGTAATTGAGATAAGGAAGTTGAATTGTGTAACTGACTTTTCTTGAGATGAGACATAAATGATGTTAAACACAAATTTGTCAATTTTAAAAAGTGGCAAAAGTAGTAAGATATCCGAATATGGGAGTTTTGCAATGTTTAGTGGGACAAACAGGAGTGAATCCAGAATTCTGAGCTAGGCTGGGATAGAAGTAATTATACAAGGTTTAAACAATAACGGGACGGGCCAAATGGGAAGAGATGAAGAACAGAAAAATTGCACTAGAAAATGTAAGAAAAAAATATGATTGCACAGTTTCCACTAGACATTAGCCCAGAGGAGTACTGGAGTGGTAGTGTAAATCCGCACCTGGGACAAAGAGAGTAAAATGAAAAAGTCTCCAAAAAATTATTATTTCAACTATAGTTGTTTCATTTGTTTAGGTTCAATTGCTTGAGTGGGGTTCACAGGGTCTATGAGTGAAGTTGTAGCTGTAGTAAATAGTGTAAAAAACAGGAGTCAGAACTCAGAAGGTCAATATGTTGAAAAAGGTTGAAAGAAAAGATGCTAAAATAAAGGTATTTATGTGTTAAAGATGAAAAAGTATGACAAGTTATCAAAATGGAATGTTTCAATGTTCAACAGTGAGGCAAGTCAAAATGAATAGGTGGAATATTACAAAATATTGTTCAGAAGTGTTTTCATTTTATAATTTAGCAGTGTACTATTTAAGCATAATTAAGTACTCCCTCTGTCCCATTCTAAGGTTCCTACTTTCCTTTTTGGACGTCCCATATCAAGGTTCTCATTTCTATTTTAGGAAACAGTTAACACTCTTAAATGACAACTTAACCATCAAATATTAAAAATTATATATTTATAACATCACAATTATCATCAATGACTTCGTTATATATCCATCAACATTATTGAACAAAATAAACTCAAATTACCTTTCTTAATTATTGTCTAAATAACTGTGCCATTTTGCTATGAGAACCTTTCACCGGGACGGAGGTAGTATTAAGGTTCACAAACGTTTATTTCAAAAATCAAAGCAAGAATTTTTAAAGAGACCGATGGAGTAGGTTCCTATGTGTTTGATTTTTCATTTGATCATCACAAGTAGTTAACATATACATTTCTGTAAATTAAGCAGGGAAGTGCTTTGACCTGCATTGGATTTTTGGGCAGAGATCAAGAACATCAAATCCACAGGCATCTGTCACATCTCAACCGCAACCATCTCATTCTGACCAAGGTAGTTAGTAGTTGTTCTTACTCTCTTGTTCGCCTCTACTTCTGTTCACACGCTGCTTGGTGTTTAAGAGTTTGTTCCATATTGAAATAACATAACGTCATATCGGTAAAGTTTGAATTAACAAACCTACACTTTACACTATATCTCATACTTTAGTGAGAGTATTAACCTATTTCTTATTCTTTTTGTAGTTTTCTGTAAATTATTGGAAAGTTAGTTCTTTTAGATCCATTGAACTTTTAAGCTAGTGTTTTTTAAACATGATTTTTTTGTTTTTGAAATTGAAGGTCTTCTTCATTCATTTGTGCTTCTTATCGTCATCCATAGCTATTCTTTTTTGCATATATAATGCGTCTTTCTTGAATATGCACGTGTTACTATAGATCATTCTTGACATTCGATCTTCTTCAGGGAAGAAGAAGCCAGGCGATGCACATACACAGGGTAGTAGTGCTGCTAGTACTTCATCACATTCCCATGATTCAAATAGAACTCAGAATGCTCCTACTCCTTCACGAAAGGAAATCGAGACTCCATCACCCGAAATGAATGGGGATGCAGCTAAACAGAAATTCAAGCACGATGGGCAGGACTATGCAAAAGCGGCTGGGAGTTCTGCAGAAAGAAATTTTGTCGTGGGAGAAGGGCATTCAGGTAATGAAATCTGTCTGAGTTTCTGTTCACATGCTGCTTGGTGTTGAAGAGTTTGTTCCATATTGAAATAACATAACATCATATCGGTTAAGTTTGAATTAAAAAACCTACACTTGACATTATTTCCTTTATTTGAATGAGAGTATTAACCTATCTCTTATTCTTTTTGTAGTTTTCTGTAAATTACTAGAAAGTTAGTTCTTTTAGATCCATTGGACTTTTTAGCTAGTTTCTTTTGAAACATGATTCTTTTTTTTGGAACAGAAGGTCTTCTTCATTCATTTGTGCTTCTTATCGCCACCCATAGCTATTCTTTTTTGCGTATATAATGCGTCTTTCTTGAATAGGCACGTGTTACCTTAGATCATTCTTGAAATTCGATCTTCTTCAGGGAAGAAGAAACCAGGCAATGTACATATACAGGGTAGCAGTGCTGCTAATACTTCATCGCCTCCCCATGATTCAAGTGGAACTCAGGATGCTCCTACTCCTTCACAAAAGGAAATTGAGACCCCATCACCCGAAATGAATGGGGATGCAGCTAAACAGAAACTCAAGCATGATCTGCAGTACTACGCAAAAGCGGAGGGGAGTTCTGCCGAAAGAAATTTCGTCGTGGGAGAAGGGCATTCAGGTAATGAAATCTGGCTGAGACTTTAAGAGCCCATTTTGAAAGGGTTACTTTGTTCAAATGGCTACATTTTTATAAAGGAAAAATGTTCGGAAAAATCAACTTAAGCCAAATAATGCAAATGCTACTTATTCGGTTAATAAAAAGAATAAGCTGTTAAGGGCCTTGGTACAAGATCTAGTCCAAGGTCGATGCTTCTGAGAAGAACAAGAAAAATATGAATCTATGGTGCCTGAAATATTAATCGACTCCCGCCCTCGGCAAGGAGTTTGTCGCAGGTTCCACCGTACGCCAAATAAAATTAATATTCCAAAGCTAATCTCATTAATCCAACTGATAAGCCTTAAATAGGCTAAAGACAAGTTTCCTAAAACAATAATAGGAAAGAAGTAATATAGAAGCTCCTAAACTAGTATAAGGAAACCTGAATAAATAAACTCAAAGTAGGAAACTGATTTAATTAATTAAAATAGACTCAAAGTAGGAAACTGATTTAATTAATTAAAATAATGAGGACCACTCAAGCTGGTCCCTTCTTTGACCGCCTCTGGTAGACTCTGCCAAATCGACCCATATCATCACTCCCTCCGTTGACAACGAGCTTGTCCTCAAGATCGAAATCAGGAAAATTCTCACAGAAGGAATCCAATGTTTCCCATGTAGCCTCTTCCAAAAGCTGTCCTGCCCAGTGGACAAGTAGTTCCCAGCTACCCTGATATGGACGAGCCTTCAAAATGGACAGAGGTTGGAGTGGGGGTGGCAGGCTGTTCAGTTCTGGTAAGGTTCCCATCGTCAAAGGTGTGTCTCCTCTGTGTGGCTTGAGTAAAGAGACATGAAAGACGTCATGAATTTTGCTTGATGGAGGAAGTATCAGGCGATAGGCAGCTTGCCCAATAGCTTCCTTTATCTGAAAGGGCCCAAAAAACTTGGGTGAAAGCTTGTGAGTATGCCTGATGAGTGACAATTGGCGATGTGGATGAATTCTGAGCCAAACCCAATCACCTGGGGTGAATGACAAATCCCGATGGCCCTTATCGTATTGGAGTTTCATACGTTGTTGAGCTTGGAGCAATCTGGTCTTGGCTATGGTGAGGATGGAGTCGCGGTCAATGAGCGCTTGGTCCACTGCGTCGAGCTTGGCAGTGCCAGGTGTGTAAGAAAGTAGCTTGGGCGGGTCACGACCATACACTAACCTGAAAGGAGTATCACCTAAAGATGTATGGATAGATGTGTTGTAGCAATACTCCGCCCATGGAAGCCAACGAACCCAATCTCGTGGACAGTCGCCGGTAGTACAACGGAGGAACATTTCCAAGGTGCGATTCACCACCTCAGTTTGACCATCTGTTTGAGGGTGGTAGGCTGAAGAAAATCGAAGTTGGGATCCACAAAGACGGAATAACTCACGCCAAAAGGAGCTCACAAACACTTTATCGCGGTCAGAGACAATTGATTCCGGCAGGCCATGGAGGCGAAAAATTTCAGAGAAGAAGACTGCTGCCACTGAAACAGCCGTAAATGGATGTGCTAGTGCAATGAAATGAGCAGCCTTAGATAACCGATCAACAACCACAAAAACAACTGATTTTCCCCGAACCTTGGGCAATCCCTCGATGAAGTCCATGGAGATATCTGCCCAAATGTGATGAGGAATGGGCAGGGGCTGCAACAAACCTGCAGGCTGGAGGTTCAGCCATTTGTGTTGTTGACACACTTGGCAATCCCGCACATGGTCAGTGATAGTCTTTTTCATGCCAGGCCAATAAAATTCGCGACGCACCCTCTGTAATGTCTTAGCACTGCCTTCATGGGCCATGGAGTGGAACAAATTGACTATAGTTGGAATTGCAGCAAAAGATGGCAGTAAGTACACTTTATGTTGGAAAAACAGCAACCCCTCTCGATATGCCCACTCGGTTCCCAAGGCACCTTCGTCAAGCTGGCGTCGAAGAGCTCCAATTTCGGACGAGGAAGCTTGTTCCTTACGGATATCCTCAAGCAAAGTTGTATAAGGAATGGACAACGCTGCTAGGTGAGGCTGAGACTCATCACGGCGAGATAAGGCATCGGCAACCGTGTTGTACCGACCAGGTTTGTATTCTACCCGGAAATTATACCCCATCAACTTACTGAGCCAATGTTGTTGGGGAGAAGTCGTTAAACGTTGCTCCAGTAAGTGTTTCAAGCTAGAATGATCGGTACGAATTAAAAATTCTTGCCCCCAGAGGTACGGTCGCCAATGGGTTACTGCCTTGGCCAACCCGATCAATTCCCGCTCGTATGCGGCTAATTTGATATGACGATCTGCTATTTTGCGGCTGAAAAACGCGACAGGATGACCCTCTTGTTGCAAAACTGCCCCAAAGCCACTCCCTGAGGCATCACATTCAATGACAAATGGAATTGAAAAGTTGGGCAGTTGAAGTACAGGAGCTGTGGCCAAGCAATGTTTAAGTTGGTTAAAGGCAACAGTGGCCTCCTCATTCCAATGGAATGAATGTTTCTTTAAGAGTTGCGTGAGTGGCAAGGCAACCTCCCCATAATTTTTGATAAACTTACGGTAGTAGCCAGCCAGGCCTAGAAACCCACGCAAGGCCGTTAGTGTCCCTGGCAGAGGCCACTCTTGGATGGCTTTAACTTTCTCCTGGTCAACCTTGACGCCTTTTTCGTGAATGATGTGACCCAAATACTGCACACTATCAGTTCCAAAATAGCATTTGGAGCGTTTAAGAAATAGCCCATGTGCTCGGAGGATATCAAAAACTAAGCGGACATGATGGATATGCTCCACCCAGCTCTTACTATATATTAAGATATCGTCGAAGAAGACCAGAACAAACTTCCGGAGATAAGGGCCAAAGATGTCATTCATTAGGCATTGGAAGGTGGATGGGGCATTAGTGAGGCCAAAGGGCATGACCAAGAATTCAAAATGACCATGGTGTGTGCGGAAAGCTGTTTTGGGAATGTCCTCCTGGGCCATTCGAATCTGGTGGTAGCCAGACCGGAGATCCAACTTCGTAAAAACTTTTGCCCCATGGAGCTCATCCAACAATTCATCGATCACCGGAATTGGGTATTTATCCTTCACTGTTTTACTGTTCAACTCTCTGTAGTCGACACAGAAACGCCACGAGTCATCATGCTTCTTAACCAAGAGCACTGGAGAAGAGAATGACGAATGACTAGGTTGAATGATCCCTTGTTCTAACATTGCAGCACATTGTCGCTCAATCTCATCCTTTTGGAAGTATGGATAACGGTAGGGGCGTACCACAACCGGGCCACAACCAGGAACTAAAGTTATGCGATGATCGCATGGCCGTGGAGGTGGCAGACCGCGCGGTTCCTGGAATAAATCCTGGAAGTTGCAGAGAATACCTTCTAGGGGTGAATGCTCATGTGAAGTGGGAAGTGCCATGTTTGCTGGTTTGCAGTATGGCGTTGGTTTGCCCTGCCATATGACGGTTGCACCCATCCAATGAAATTGCATAGACAGATTGTGAAAATTCCATACGATCGCGCCTAAGTCTCGTAACCACTGGACCCCCAAAATCATATCAAAACCAGCCATGGGAAGAACATAAAAATCAGCATGGAAGGGAACTCCCAAAACCTCAAAAGTTAACTGAGGACAGCTACCCAAAATAGGGACCTTTTCGCCATTTGCCACCACCACAAATAAAGAATTGTCTGTGGGTGAACTATACTCGAGTCCTTGAGCCAATCGTGCATGCACAAAATTATGCGTGCTCCCAGAGTCGACTAGAATCAGAACTGGTTTACCTCGCAAGGAAGCTGTAATTTGCATTGTTGTGGGTGAGCAGGAACCTGACATGGCATTGAGGGACAAGGCAAAGTCAGAATCGATTGTTTCATCGCCTTCGTCATCCCAGATTTCCAAGGCAAAAAGCTGCTTGCAACGATGACCGCGAACATAACGTTCATCACAATGATAGCAAAGACCTTTGGCTTGGCGACTGGCTGCCTCCGCTCTGGAAATCCGACGACGCCAAGTGGGAGGCTGCTGTGAGTCCTCAATGGTCTGCTTTGGATTTGAAGCAAGCAGACTGGTTTGTGATGCGATAGGCATAGGGGATTGTCTTGGTTGAGGTCGTGTGACTGGGAGTAGTGCCACAGATTGTTGTTTGCGCTCAATCTGCCTGGCCAGATTCATGGCAACGTCCAAGCTTCCTGGAGCCTGAAACTCCAGTTCTAAACGGATTTCCTGACGAAGCCCTGCCATGAATGCGTTGACTTCAAATTGACTGGGTAATCCATCTACACGCGCCAACAGTTTCTGAAACAAACTAATATATTCCTCCACTGTCCCCGTTTGTTTGAGTTGAAAAAGATCTCCCGAAGGGTTGGTGCTTAAAGGTGGTCCAAAACGAAGGAGACATTTTTCAGAAAAGGTGTTCCACGATATACCTGCACGCAGTTTATCTGCCCAGAGTTGAGCATCGCCTGTCATGTGAAAAGTAGCTAATCCGACACGTGCGATGGGGGCTGTCTGTTGATGTGAAAAAAATCGTTCACAACGCTTCAGCCAGCTCAGTGGGTCACTTGTACCATCATAGGTAGGAAAATCGAGTTTGGAATAGCGGGGCACAATGTTATTCTCGCTACTGACTCGAGTGTGGTGTTCGTGAAATTCCCTATGATCACCATGGGATCCGGAGGGGCTGTTACTGTTGGAGTCAGTATGTGGGCCTGCAGATTTACTAGTCAGGGCAGCAAGCTGCGTGGAAAAAGATGTAACGAGATCTGTAATTTTTGCCTCAAGCGATCCTTGTCGCTGGTTAATATCTGCCATGAAGGTTTTGAGTGTCTCTGCGGTGATGTGCTCGTTCCCCATCGTTCTGGATACTGATACCAAATTGTTAAGGGCCTTGGTACAAGATCTAGTCCAAGGTCGATGCTTCTGAGAAGAACAAGAAAAATATGAATCTATGGTGCCTGAAATATTAATCGACTCCCGCCCTCGGCAAGGAGTTTGTCGCAGGTTCCACCGTACGCCAAATAAAATTAATATTCCAAAGCTAATCTCATTAATCCAACTGATAAGCCTTAAATAGGCTAAAGACAAGTTTCCTAAAACAATAATAGGAAAGAAGTAATATAGAAGCTCCTAAAGTAGTATAAGGAAACCTGAATAAATAAACTCAAAGTAGGAAACTGATTTAATTAATTAAAATAGACTCAAAGTAGGAAACTGATTTAATTAATTAAAATAATGAGGACCACTCAAGCTGGTCCCTTCTTTGACCGCCTCTGGTAGACTCTGCCAAATCGACCCATATCATAAGCTTATTAGTTCTACCAAGCACGGCTTAAGTCTGTTTGATCTTTGTTAACCTCGTGCTTTTCATATATTCTACTGCAAAACTAAATGAGATGGGGAGTGAGACTTGTGTCATGCTCACTGGAATTTATGCAGGTGCATGGATGGTAGATTCTAAGAAACAAGAACCTGAAATTAGAGACGAGAAGAACGGAAGCTTTACAAATATTAAAGGTGAGAGTGTGAGACATGTGACCCATTGTTTTATATGCGAGTTTGTAACTTTATATTACACCTATATGGCTATATGAGATTGCAAGATTGTTTAACAAGTCATCATAACTCATAAGTACTATTCAAGTTACACATGAATTTATGATAGAGCTAATAGCTCAAGTGTGGAAAAATCGGTCTGATCTTGATGGAATTGAACTGCATTGCAGGACGAGACGTACAAATTCAAATTGATGAAAGCACAAATGAAGCAAGAACTTCAACCTGCATGCAAGATCCTATACAAGTGACCGGAAAAAGTGGTTCACAATCAATAGAGGTGGTCAAGAGCATAGTGTATGGAGGCCTAGCTGAGTCAATCACAAGCTTAAGTCTGGTTTCTTCAGCTGCTGCCTCTGGTGCCACCACACGTAAATCCTTAACACCCTCCCATCCCAAAACTAAATGGATCCTTTTATGCTAACAGTATAGTCTTTTCTTAAAAATCTGTTGATTATTTTGCAGTGAATGTTTTGACTATTGGAGTGGCAAATCTCATAGGCGGTCTTGTAATCATGGCACACAATGTATGCAAATATAATACCTATCCTTATCTGCCTTAATTACTTATTGCTCCTATCTATTAAGTCAAATATATGCCCTTGATCCAGGCCCTGGGTCCATCCCAAGTTCGATAAAAACTTTCCCGATGCGTAAATTTTTTGCGTAAAAAAATATATGAATGAGTTCCTTTTCTGGTCTACCCAAAGTTTTCTTGTGACTATACGCCTTTGCAAATATATAAATACAAACTTAAATATAGTCTTGGACTAATCCATTATGGACTCGTTATGATGTGGAACTCAAGTCTCCATGAGCAACTCAAATATGATAAGTCTTGACAACGAGCACATGTATATCAAGGATAGTATGACCTAACCACACACCCTCTTGTGGTGTCTTACGTTGTTCACATCAGTTGAGTAGTTCATTACTCTCTAATGAAAAACCCAGTCCAACTAAGACTAAAAGTTTACACACATATTTCAAATGCCAATCTGGTACGCTAGCCAGAAAAAGAAATTCCAATTTCACAAATCTTTTTAATCACAATCTTTTTAAAAGTAAACTTATATTTTTGTAAAATTCATCTAAAGCCAAGCCATTTTAGCTGATATATTGAATAGTTATGGAAACAAGTTTTAGGCATGAATGGTCGATCATTAATCATTTCTAAGAGCTTGTTTTTTTATTGATTTTACTAAAGAAAATTATACCACGATGACATGTTTTTTATAGAGGGAGTAATTGATTATGAAATATAAAAATCACAGAAAATCGACTTGTTTAATTGCAGTTTTTGGACTTGCATAGCAATCGCCCTGCTGAAGAGTACCAAGAAGTATTAGGCCAAAGAAAAGACTTTCCACTTCATCTCATTGTTGCAGTATTGTCATACCTCACCTTTGGCCTCACCCCACCTGCCATCTACGGATTTGCGTTTCATGAGAGAGACGATAGAGACATGAAGCTTTTAGTGGTTGCAGTGGCTTCTTTTGTGTGCATCATTTTTCTGGCCATTGGAAGAGCTTACACCCGCAGAGCAAATACGTTTAAGGATTATTTGCTGACTGTACTGCAATACATTGTTGTTGCAGCTATGGCTTCTGGTGTTGCTTATGCAGTGGGTCATTTGTTTGGGAGGCTGATGGATGAACTCGGCTGGTTTGACTCAGCCCCAACCACCCCAAGCAGCGGTCTTCTTCTTTCTAATGTTCATTTGGAACATCCAAACTGGGATTCATATTGATTCTTGTAATCATGATTGGTCATGCTTCCATCTTCCAGGATTCCGTCTCCAAGCTGTTCCAGTGTTTTCCTTGAGGAATATTGTTATTAAACTTGGGATTCCAATAGTTCAATTTTTTTATATGGATTTGTAGTATTATACTCCTTCCCTATTTATTTATTTATTTATTTTGTATTCCTTGTGACATAAATGAAGTCTCATTTCATCATTTGTTGAAAAAAATCTTATCAGTTTCCTCTGTTCCTCTTAAGAAATACAGAGAAAATATTACTCTCAGTAGAAAAAACGTCCTAAAAAGTCAAAGAAAAGACCATATTTCTTTTACTTCGTGAAGGTTCCAGACTTCCAGTTAGGAACTCCTTTTACAAAACAATTGAACAAAATAAAATTAGTAAAAAGTGTAATATGGACGCCACCATTGTTTATGAAGGAAGAAAGGTAGGTATATGCAATATACTTCGGGAATCGAGATCACCATGGCCACTTTCAGATAGCTAGAACAGAGTGGTGTAGAGCAGCCCTATCGCCGGCAAAAGCTGAAGCTCAGGGTCTCAGGGACCAAGACAAGTTATGCATGTATAATAAGCTTATGAAATGGATTTGAAACCAGTGGTGGATCATGTGATATTAAATTAATACTCCCTCGTCCCCCGTCTCATTTTTCCATTTTTGGATGTCCCCCTATTATTGTCACATATTATATTTGATAACATTTGTGTGACTCTAATTCATTCTTACTCATTATCAACTCATTACCAACCACATAATTCTACTTTTTTTAAAAACACACAACTCTCTACCGTCCCAATATTAGGGGAACGGAAGGAGTATATATAAGGAGTAGATCTCCGGTAGGTTATTTTAGAACCCTTAGGCCCTGTTTGGTTGGAGGGTTTCGGAGGGGAGGGGAAGAAAGTGGGGAATTTGTGTGTGTTTGGTTGAAGGAAATAGGGGGGAAGAGGAGGAAAGTGAAAGACTTTCAAAATCCTTCACTTCCTCCCATTCTAAACCTCCCAAATCGGGGTATTTCGGAGGAAACGTGTTGATAACCACAAACTATCCATCTCCTACGTGAATGAACAAAACGTTATAATATAAAAAGGTAAAAAACAACAAGTTTTGAAAAATTAAAAAATTTAAAAATTAAAAAATTAAAAAGTTTACAGATTAAAAAATTTAAAATTTAAAACATTAAAAATTTTAAAAATTAAAAATTAAAAATTAAAAATTTTAAAAATTAAAAAATTTAAAAATAAAAATAAAAAATAAAAATTCAAAACTGAAAGATGAAAATTTATAAAATTAAAAAAAGTAAAAAATCAAATAAAATAAAATTATCACTCATGACCATAGGAGTAATATTCATAATAGTTAGACATGTATCTATTTTTTTAAGTAAGCTATCAAATAAAAGTAAATTGTGAAAATATTTTCATTAAATCTTTCCTCCTATTTCCTCCAACCAAACACAAATTTTTATCAAAATCCTTCCTTCCCCTTTCCTTCCCTTCCCTCCTTCACTCTCCCCTTCCCTCCCCTCCTTTGAACCAAACAAGGCCTTAAAGACAGTCGCAATAATTTGCACATTGTGTTCACTAGGTTATTTTGGAACCCAATAAGTTAGCTAGAGAGTATCTATCGACTTTGCTTCTTACATCATTTTTCAACATATTTCTCATTTTATTCTAAACATTTATTAATAAAGAAATGAATTGAGTTACTACATATTTGCATAAACAAAAGCTAGTATACAGTTTAATGCATTAGTCCTATGATTTTAAAGATTCGTCAAAACCCGATGTGTTATAAATATTTATCACTAAAAACCCTTCTATGAATAAATTTATTTGTTAAATAAATGGAAAATAATTAGTATTTTTGCATAATTTAGGAAACTTGACAAATCTATTTGCATATTCAATCATAATATTAAGATAAATAATTCGTTAAATGCTAAGTTTATTCTTATAAATAATTACTACGTATAATACAACGGGATTTAACGCATTTTATAAATCACAAAGACTAATTCGCCGAATTTCTATACGACAACGGGTTCGGTGCATAAGATGTTTAGTGTGGATCGGACCAAACCAATATTGATGATGCATCCTACAGGCCCATTATCAATTGGGCGCCTTGGTGTATGTGGTCCAGTATCGTAAGGTTTGTTTCATCAATCTTTGAGAAGCGAAGATCGGAGAGAGCTCGGGTTTGGAGATTTTTGGGGGTTTATCAATCCTTCAGTCGACTGCGAAGATGATTTACGACGTCAACTCTCCGCTTTTCCGGTCCTTCCTTAGCCAAAAGGGGGGCAATTCTGACAAGAGGTATGATGCAAGTTTCTATCTTACAAATTTTTAGAATCTAAACATGTATAATCAATTCAGAACTTCAATCATATACTCCGTATAATATTTCTTTAGTTAATCCAAACGACAGAATTGCTTGTATTAGAGATTGATTTCATTTCCAGAATAGGCCACGGTTGGAATTTTATTGACGCATATGTATGCATAAATGGTATGCAGCATATATTTGCAATGGGTGGGCTGGATAACAGACTTACAGTTACAACAATGTATGAAAGGAAAGCTATAGTTAAAGCCAAATTGTTGATAAGTTAGAGGTTTTGTGGTTAGGATGTATGAAAGAATGTTAAATCAATCAAAGTAGGTTACAGGATGGATGGAAAAGTTAAATTGTTCTCATGTTTTCTAGGTATTTCCAATACCCTGAACTCATAATATCTGCGAGGGCTACACCAATCACTAATGATATTTGACTATCTATAGGTAAAAATAAAAAATTTTATTTTCTCCGATTTAACAATAACAACAACATCCAAGCTTTAGTCCCAAAAGATATTGGGATCGGCTAACATGAATCGATACATGATATCTCCGCCAAAAGGAAAAGAAAGAAAATAAAGATAAAAAAGATAAGCTATATAAAAAGATAATATAAAAAGAGATGAATATACATAAAAATGATAAAATAAAAAGGATACAAATAATGCTTATATATAAGGATAAAAAACAAGGAAAAAAAGATGAGGGGAAAAGATGATACGAGATCACTCCTCCACATGAATACCCGCCCTCCACTTAGCTTTTTCCAAAGTCATACCCTCATCCAACCCCAGAAGAAGCATATCACTTCGAACTACCCTAACCAACGTCTGTTTGGGTCTTCCTCTCCCTCTCTTCCCTGCCTCTTCTCCACACATCTCAACTCGTCTGACAAGTGCATCACTTGGTCTTATACGCACATGAAGAAACCACCGTAGACACGACTCCCACATCTTGTCTTCAATAGGTGCTACTCCCACCCTTTGTCTGATTGTCTCATTCCTCACGCGGTCCTTCCTAGTATGCCCACACATCCAACGCAGCATGCACATCTCTGCCACACTCATCTTTTGAATGTGACATTGTTTCACCGCCCAACACTCTACGCCATACAGTAATGCAGGCCTAACTGCTGTCCTATAAAATTTATCCTTTAGTCTAGATGGCATACCTCGATCGCATAGAAATCCTGACGCACTCTTCCACTTCATCCACCCTGTTCTGATTCTATGGGATACATCTCCATCTAACTCACCGTCCTTCTGAATTATGGAGCCCAAGTAACGGAACATATCGCTGACTGGTATCTCCTCACGATCCAAAGTAATTCCGCTATTACCACTGCTTCTACCTCCACCAAACTTGCACTCCATGTACTCTGTCTTGCTCTGACTTAGTTTGAAACCCTTATTCTCCAATGTTTGTCGCCATACTTCCAACTTTGATTTAAGACCTGATTACGTCTCATCAATCAATACAATATCATCGGCAAACATCATGCACCACGGTATATCATCTTGAATTGACTTCGTAAGTTCATCCATGACTATTGCAAATAAGAAAGGGTTCAGAGCCGATCCTTGGTGCACTCCGATAGTAATAGGGAACTCTTCAGTCCTCCCTACACTAGTACGGACACTTGTAGTACAATCCTCATACATATCCATGATGATGCTAATATACTTGCGTGATATGCCTTTCCTAGTTAAGGCCCACCAAAGAACTTCCCGAGGTACCCTATCTTATGCCTTTTCTAAGTCAATGAACACCAAATGCAGATCCTTATGAGCGTCTCTATACTTCTCCATAAGTTCCCGAAGAAGGTGAATGACCTCAGTTGTTGAACGATCAGGCATAAAACCGAATTGATTCTCTGAAATCTTCACAGTTATTCGAAGTCTTTGCTCAATCACTCGCTCCCAAAGTTGCATGGCGTGACTCATAAGTTTTTCCGATTTAACAATATTTTACAAAATATGTTTCTTTCAATACACAGCAAATAAAATGTTGTCAAAATAGAATATGCGAATAGTACAAAAGTTGAACTGTACATCTAATAAAGAACAAATAGTACAAAAGTTGAACTGTGTATCTAATAAAGAACAAAGGGTGTACTTTTTCTCCAAGCCTCCAAGGAAACCAGTCCTCATTTCTAGTTTTATTTGTAGAAGCACAAGTGCTTTCTGTCTATTAATATCATGCTATATCAGTACTTTAATAAGAAGTAGTTTCTCTTTTAAGGTTTCAAGCATTAAATACCGGTTGTGGTTTGCTACTAGATCCGGACAAAGTGATCTTTACAGCTAAATGAAAAAAAATCATTTCCTTTCCAAATCCTTCTTTTGAAGTTAAAGTACTTTTTTCCCTAGGGGAAAAACACTTGTGGAGTCTACGGTTTGCTGTGCTAGATTGCTAGAATTTTGGTATCTAAAGATCTTTATTGTTTAAACAAAAGGAAGGTTTAATTATATATCTATTGACATTTTATTCCTATGAGCTGTACATTGATGCACAATTTTATTCGTTCTGCTTTAGGATTCCAAAAACATGATAACATACTTGTATCATTAAAGGATAAGAGTCAAATGTGGCACAGTGGGTTAATTTAATTTAGCATTTTACTATTTTTTTAAAGAAGCATTTTACTATATCTTCAATGATATACTACTAACTTTTGAGTACTTACTTCCAATCTTTTGACAATTTCTTCATCTTCTAGGTATGAGTTTTGCCATCCTAGCTTTCATGCTCCGTAAATGCTTTAAAGTGGTACGGATAAAATGCATAAATGAGACATTCACTAATGGTATTGTTGCACTGTGCTACATTAACTCTTAAATGAAACAAATTAGTACCATAACTACGTGTAAATAATTCAACCGGCAAT